GAAAAGTATACCTTCATTTCTTTTCTCGTTTTTGAATTGGGAATCTGATTCAGCAGTGTCACTTATCTTGTGGAAGTGGAATTGTAGTTTCAGGTGTGTGGGGATTGGTGACAGCCCAGAAATGCAGTATATTATATCTTATGAATGGAGGAGCGAGAATTTATCTGTGTAAGGTCTCTGCAAATTTGGTTTGTAATGATTTGGAGTACATCATGCACTCCTCTTCTGAATAAATTTTCCTTTTGCTGATAATTTGTTAACTGATAAATTAGATCAATCCTTGTTACAGGTGAAGCAGAATATGAAATGGTGTCGCATAGTGTATAGCAAGGGTATATGCTATTACATGGATACAGGCTTGGGATTTCACTGAGGTTGCAAGGGCTCCAGCTTCAAGAACTTTAGAACTTGTCAGTAGGAGCCTTGTATTCTTCTCCATACTTTAACTTTCATTAAAGCGATTTGATCCATTTTAATGATGAATGTTTAACCAAATAAGAAACAGAATGTAAGAGAAATGCTACAATGTATTTCTGGGGTTCGATTTATATTAGAAAAATGTAAAGCTGCCATTTAATTTCTTTTCCATTTCTGAATTGGGAATCTGATTCAATGGTTGCAGATAAAAGCAAAGCCATCAAGAATATGCTTATTGAAATATTCTCAGCACCCTAGATTAATGGTCTGAATTTGAAAGAGATCAAACTCAGAAAGTGTTGAGATGAGAATGAACAGTTTTTATGAGTCTAATATGCAAAAGCAAGAGGTACAGAGGCCACTGAATTACGCTCCAATGCTTCATTTAGGTACTCACACCTGAATAAGATATCATTTATTGTAGAGAAGAGGAGACATAAATTTAATTTCTGCAAGCTTATCTACGTTCCCAGTTAAGCAGAAACGACTTTGAGTCAAAACAAACCAACAACTACTAAAAAAATAATACCAAGACCTGTGGTCTACAACTTAATTAATGGAAGTTACACAAGAGGCCAATTCAATTAGAACCGCTCAAGCTACCAAAGTCCAATTAAATTCATTCTTTCTGAAGCAACACATTTCTCCAATATTATAAAATTAAATTGCATAAATTGAAAAAATTGAACCAATCAAGTTAGAAATTTAGGCAGAGTAATTACATATATATTATATACATAGGGTGCAGCAAAAGAATACACTAGAGTCTACATGGGGCAATTTGTTTGAAATTTGAATGCCTTGGTAGGCTCTAGGACACTAATTAAATCGTCCTACTTGGATTTTGAATGGATTTTGAATATTTATCATCTTAGTGGAGAATGCCCAATTTTTTAAAGACAGACTATAACGCACTAGAGGGCAAAA